TCCGCTGGCAATGGCTCTGGCCAAAGCGGCCTGGGAAAGCGTGAGTCGAATCACGCACGCAGCTTAGGTTCCGCGCCTTCCACGTCGCCGGCTTCGGCATGGCCTTTGGCGGAACTCTGCTGGGCGTGGCGCGCTCCTGCACGCTGTTGGCAAAATGGACCTGTTAACCCCACTGGTGGACCAGCCTGCGCAGTTACAAGGAACTGCAGCTGGTCCAGGGTTCGGCGGGTGTCCTGCGAGGAGAAAAACTCATCAAAGCACGTGAAGCATAGAGAAAGGGGGATCCTTGCAGATCCCTTGTTCGTTGGGACTTTCTTTTCCGCACCTTGGAGAAAAAAAACGCGAAACCGCAAAAAGGAAAAGCCGCTATGTGTGGGCCCCGGCCCGCTCAACTTCTGAAAGCTTAGGCTTCTCCTCCTTTATTTTTTGCCCCTTGTTTCTTTCCTTCTCTTTTCTTTCTTCTTTGTTTTTGCTGCGGGCGGCTTTCCAAGGGCCCCAGTCCTGCAGAAGGAGCAAAAGGAGACTCAAAAACGTGACAACTTCTGAAAGGCCCCGGCATCATCTTCGTGAGAGTTGTTGTCCATGTCGCCTGCGAAAGCAAGCAATCTGGCCCCCTCTACCGAAAACAGCATGCACCAGCCTCTGCGCAAGCCCCGGGCTTATTCCAACTTAATTGAGCCGCAAACGAAAAAGAGCGCAGCGTTTTCTGTTTGATAAATTTGCGTTGCGAGGCCGACCATGCGCGACAGGGCATGTGCAAATCGAGGCCCCGGCCGCACCGACGAGAAAGGTCTCCATGTAGTACCTGCGCAGTCGCAAAGCGAGAAGCCCTTTAAACCCACCCAACCTGGTCATGACACACGCCGTGATCGAATGCCATGCGCGGCTCTGATCAAGACTATGCGTGTTTGCGCAACACTGCAGGCAATCTACAAGTGATTTTGACAGACCCTAGAAATATTCTATTGAGAAACCAAACATACCGTAGAATTTGAATGTCCCTTATCATTGCGCTAGCACGTTTGAGTTTTGCCAAGCTTCATCACCGCCCTTTATAAGCAAAATGTTAGTCCCATTTTGCGGTAGCAACTTCGGCCCTGCCCATGCCAGAAAACTGAGTTGATGAGGTCGCTCAAAAGGACTAGCTTTCATGCGCGCTGCAGCTCATGAAAGACTGGAGATGACGCGCCACAAGCAGTTCCCCTGAAACAGCTCCGATCCATGTCAAGCGCTGAGCCGTTTGCATGTGCCACGCAAATTAATGAAAAACACGAACTGCAGCGCCCTCCTCCAATCAGAAGCAGGCGCGAGGCACCGATCCCTACCTCTAGCAGATTCCCTGGAAATAAAACTGCTCACTAAGATGGCGCACGTGCACCAGTCTTGAGTCAGCCCTACACATTTTAAAGCAGCGCTTCGAACATGCTTGACTACGGTTTTGCGTGTGCCTTTAGTACGTGTCAGTCCTATATAAGTAGTCCTACGTACTTGGCAACGCCTATAGTATTTCGCACCCGTCAAGAGAAAACCCAACAATCTGTTCAGAACCAACAATCTGTTCAGGAAGGCGACACTGCTTGAATTTGTGTGCGCGCGCACCCCTTAAGCACGCACATGCATCTCTGCGCCCTGTCAGCACGTGTGCGCCTGCGTTTGTGCCCGCGCCTCAAAGAGAAAGATCTCCAGGACTAATAGGAAGTACCTGCCAGGACAAGTGCAGAAACCCACGCAGGCAAAAAGGGCAACGAAAGCAAATAACCCTATTAAGATGGCTCACTGTTGCTGAGGTCCATGAGCCAGTCGCACGCTCAAGCGCAACATGTGCGCCGCATGCTGAGAGCCATGCGGGCTGAGAACGCAACGCAACGGTGCAAAGAACTCTTTTTTACAAAGCACTTAGCCGCAGAAAAATGTGAGACGTGCTTCTGCAAAGATTGAGCGATTTTCAACGTGTGGATTTCGTCGTGCGTCATGTAGGAACCCGCGCCTACGGCCGTAGTGCCCATCCATGATTTCCAGCGAGCCTCAGGCCCACCACTTCGCTCGCGCGCAAAGACTGCATCTGAGGTTGGCGCCATGCGCGTAAACCCCACGCCATGCCACACTAGCGCGCCCCGATTTGAGGCACTTATATAGCCGCAAAGCAGCGCAGCGTCTGGCCATGCAGTGCCAAAAGCCGAGATTAAGCACGAAACCAAAATTTAAGGCCGAAATGACATAAACCACCCCTCCGGCATCCAGCCACTTTCTAAGCACGAAACGGATCTCCAGGTTGGGGCGTGTGAAAAGCTGCATGTCCCTGTACGTTTGTTCTAACTATTGCAAACACTGTTCAAGCAATGCCCCTGCAGGAAGGCAAGCGGAGAAACGTAAACCACATCAATTTCGGCTTCGTCTTGCCGTCTTTCTGCCACGATACACTAGAGGTCCATGGCCCTCAACGCAATGGCAAACACGAGCTCCTGCCACACGGGATGGCCAATGTGGATGGGGTCTCAACAAAGCCGCTCGAGAAGAATTCCGGGCACAAGTGGGTGAAGGTCAACACGATGCTGAGTTATCGCGACCTCTATGACCTTTGCAGGACTCCGCTTGCAGACTTCCTGGACAGAGTGAACCAAGCCGCTGTGGCAACACAGCGGCCATCACACAGGGCACTGGAAAGCATTGAACGAATCCCGCTGAAGTCGGTCCTCATCGCGAGCGAGATGCTGGCGAATCTCCTGAAGCTGTCGCATGTGGCTGGCACAAAGTCATTGGAGTTGGCCACTCCATTGGTGCAAGCCCCGTATGATGTCCTGAGGAACAACATCGGGAGATTGACCAAGCGTCCAAAGTTTGAAAAACAGGGGAGGAGCCAGAGCAACCACCCCCTTGCAAAGGACCCAGCATTGGTGGAGATGATGGTGCGGCACTGGGCGCACGTCCACGGAGTCTGCGACTCTCTGGGCCAATGCCGCCATTTCCCCCAGGAGACCTCCAAAAGTTCTGGCCACATCGAATTCGATTACTTGCAGTCGGACAGACAGCACTCTGCGCAGTGGCAGCGTCGTATTCAAGACATCTGCGGAAACGCAGATGGCATCCACTTGCACTCGGTGGTTCACGGCACCTACTGGGAATGTGCCCCGGCAATCCTGAGACAGGGAAAGCTGACTGCGTCAGATAACGACGCCGGGCTGGGGGCACGCGAGTATCACGGCCGAGGAGGCCGTGGAGTCGGAGTGCGCCTTGCCAAGAAATTTGTGTTTGGTAATGATTCCTGAATGTTTAGTCCTTGGTTGTTGTAGTCTTGCCTGTTCGTGCCTTGCCGACCTTGTGCGCCAAGGTACACAGCAGAAGACTGGGAGCACGTCTTCCGGTGACGGCCGGCGACTACATCGAGGCGATTTTCGGGGTGACGAACATCGTCGGCACTTGGACCGGGTTTTCGCGCTTCGTGGCCGTGATGGTGATGAACCTGCGGTTCCTGGTGTGGGCGCTGCCCTTCACCACGTCGCAGCTCCTGCAGAAGATTTGGACCTACTCCGACCTCTGCGAGATGGTGAAGAGCGTCGACCTGGCGACTCGCCGCCGGGCTGCTGCCGCTGGTTGGTGACCTACTCCGACCTCTGCGGCGAGATGGCAGTCGACCTTGCGACTCGCCGCCGGGCTGCTGCCGCTGGTTGGTGAGTGTTGGCTGAGCTGGCGGCGGTCCTTTTCGACTCGCCGCCGGGCTGCTGCCGCTGGTTGGCATTGGCAGTGAGTGTTGGGTGAGCTGGCGGCGGTGTTTTTCGGTCAATCAATGCATTATTAAATAGACAGTCTGGGGGAATTTTATTTAAAGAGGATGACATGTGGAGTGAAACTTGACCCCATTTCAAATTTCTGGAGTACACCAAACAAACATCTGGCCCACCAAAAGAAACCATACTTGGTCCACCCTCCCCACGCATCTACCAATGAACAAAATAGAAATTGACAAATAATTGATTGACCGCTTAGTTAGCTACGGAATCCACCGGTCAAAAACTGACCGCTTAGGCTTTAGCTACGGAATCCACCGGTCAAAGACTGGTATTAATGTCGGAATCGTCAGCTGAGTAACTTGCCCGGCGAGACCATCGGCAACCCTGCGCGACAGCGCCTTGAAAGGAAAACATCGGCGGACTTGTCAAACATTTGCAGTTAGACATGCAATTCATGTAGCAAATAAAAAGAGGGAATGGAAAGAATTGATGGCACTTTTATCAGGCAGTTTCAGGCCCTGCCCTGCCAAATTTTGCCAAATTTTGAAACTAAGGTAATCGTTGAACCCCTCGTGACTGTGCGTGTTTTGTGGTGGGCGCTTCATTTTGCAGCAAGTTGTCCAAGTCGTTGAAGGCGTTGTCGATTTGCGTCTGGACGATTCAAGGCAATTGCCGCGACTTAGACTTGGCCAGCACTAAGCCGCCCGTCGAGTTCCATCCGGGCGGCTCAGGGCTTGTCAAGACTAAGACTTGGCATTGGCCAGTCCGGGCGATTCAAGGCTTGCCAAGCCTTGGCCAGCCCTAAGTCGCCCGTCGAATTTACATCCGGGCGACTCAGGGCTTGCCAAGCCTTGGCTAAGTCGGTCGAATTGAATTTAGGCGATTCAGGGCTTGTCAAGCCAGCCCTAAGTCACCCGTCGATTTGCATCCGGGCGACTCAGGGCTTAGCTTGTCAAGCCTTGGCCTTAACCAGCAGTAATCGCCTGTCGGATTAGTCTAAATTTAGTCACTCCCTGGCCAAGCCTGACTGGACGCAACAGACAGTGTCCGCGTGTGTGCCCTCCATGGCTGCGAGCGATGACTCACCGGGGGCATGGGGAATTTTGAATCACGTAGCCATTTGGCCAACAGCAGGTTCACCAGAGGGCGCAGTCAGTTGCCACAAATCTCGCGATGGAGCTGGAATGCGACTTGGCATTCGCCAAGGCCGACGAGTTCAGCGTGGAGATCGTCAAGGCTAAGAGTGAGAAGCCAACGGCGAAAAACAATGAGATGAAGCTGATCCAGGACGAGGAGGACAGCGGCAGCAACGCTGCAGTCTTTGCGGCTTTATGGCGGAGAAGGCGCAAGACGTGGGAGAGCACTTATCTGGTGGGTAGCTGCTTGCCAAAAGACATTTCCTTTCCTTCCGCAGCAGCTGCAAAGCTGGCCAAGCAACCCTGGGTTCTGGGGACTACAACCGGCTGCGGCTGCCTCCCACGCAGCAAAGCAGGTCTCTCTAGCGACTGGGCCCGTGGAACTGCAGGCGTTGTCAAAGGCTTTCGCGCCTGGTTCTTGCACAAACACCAGGAATCGCACAACCACGTGAACGCGGTCAAGCAAATGCTCTGCATCGGCGACGGCGGCGGCGCTGGCGAGGCGATGGCGCTGTCAGAGTTTGAGGCCTTGCTGAAGAATCTGCAGGGCGGACGCTCGCAACGAGGAGACTCAATGTCATTAATTTGATGTTTCTCGCAATGTGCTTTCCTCTTTTGACCGATGAAAACATTGCATCTGAGAGTCCGGGTTAATTAAAATTAAGTCGGCTGAGGCTGTTCAAGCTTTGAAGGGCAATGCTCTGACAAGACTTCGCTGATGACGTGGTGCCTGCACGAGGCAATCACGCAAGCGGACCGGGATTTCCTCAAGACTTGCGAGACCGTCAGCTTGACAAGAGATGGAAGGCGCCAGCGGTTGCTAATCCGGTTTGGAGGCTGCAACGACGCTTTGGCCACACGTTAGCAAACATTTGTCGATTGCTTTGTCTCCATCATGTCATTGGTCATCTGTCAAAGTTCCCACAGCACGGCCCCTCGACCTTACAATCACACATGATCGAAACAGCAACTACTAATTTTAGTAGTTGCCGTTCCGATCAGTGTTGTGGGAACTTTGAATTGCTTGGCTTTGCTTGACGATTGCCAGGACAAGTTCCAGATCCGGTACGGGGTTCTTGGTCTGGCACGCGGGTGTGGCGAAGCCATTGCAGAAATAGCCGCCTGACTCTATTATCAGCATGTTTTTCAGACCAGTGTCGTTGCCGCCATTCCCTTATAATAAACATTGACAACCTGTCGGGATTGCTGCCTGTTGCCGCTCATTTTGCCAAGGCTCAGGGGACACGAAAGGTGCTGCGTGACTTCTGCACGAAGTTCCATGAGCCTCCCAGATCCTACGCTGGACCCCCGCCAGAATTCGACGAGAACCTCTACGACATGCTGCGGCAACGCATCGAAATCATCTTGACGGACGCTGCTTCTAATGAGATTGGGGCATCCAACGTGAACCGCGGGCGCCGAGACCCTCGCATCGAGGCGGACGACGCTGACATCTTGCTGCCAGGTTTGAAGCTGGTCGCGCGTGACCACGCCCACGCTTTCCGCCGTGTGCTGAAGCGACCTTTCCATTGCAGCAGTTACTTGGGCACCCTGATGGCGGAGCATGTTTTGGGAAAGAAGTCGATTGTGCAAGTGATCGACAGGTCCTTTGTCTTCGGGCAATGGTTTCAGGAGGAGGTTGAGAAGCATCACGGGACCATCAGCAACTTGAAATCAGCGACTTGTCGTCTCAAAAAGCAAGACTTTATTAACACCGTTTGTCGAAGCAGCCAGGTTTCCTGTTTGGCTGACTGAGGCGAAACACCGCTTCGAGTCGCACACGACCCCGCTGTGCCGACTGATTAGCAACCTTCCTGCCATTATGTCAGTTGCGCAACGGATCATCCAGCATCGGCAAGACGCCGTAGGCAAACATGTGAAACAATGGCTGGATGATTTCAGCAGCGAAGCGGTCCTTGCCCTGGCAATGGTAGCAGACGCTTCAGACGAATCGCTGCTTCTGATTCGCCAAGTGGACGACGAAGCGGTGGACAGCTCAGAGCTTGGGAACTACGTGCAGGGCTTCGCGGACCGCATTCAAGCCCTTTTTGCTCAGCGGCAGGCGCTGACAACAGTTGGATACACCAAGTTTGCCATGGACATGCTGTCCAAAGGCGAACTTGCGTTTTTCTCTTGTGGGCAGGCTCGGCGGCTGCAGCCTTGCGACGGGGACACGGTGGAAAGATGCCTGGATCGCATGGTCGCTTGGTCCCGCTTAGCCTTGGAAGTTCTTCAAACTGAGTTTCCACACTACTCCGTCTTCAGCGCCTTCGGGGCCCCTGGGCTTGAACAGAACTAAACGATGATAATCTTACTTGTTTTGATGTTAGCCTGTTTATCGACCTTAAATTAGGAAGCCTTCCTCTGAGAGCATTTTCCAAGGTGTTTTCCTTGAAGTCTGTGACCAAGCAGCAAACCGCTTTCCAGAGCGCCGGGGATGACAGCTGCAACAGGTTGGCCAAGTTCTTCAATGTCAGCCCTGGCGGCTTCCAGGAGCAGCTGCAGCGTTTGAGGCCCTTGGCTGAGAAGCGCTACAGGGAGACCAACACGACGTGCAAGGATGCGTGGATGCACACAATGGCAGCGACGCAGCGGCGGCAGTCATTGAAGGACTTTTAGTTGTGGGATAAAATTACAGTCCACTTTTTCGACAGGCGGGTCCCCGCCCAGGAGTCCTATCCAGCAGATGACCTGGCCATCGTCGTGCGCCGGTATCTGGCTTGGCAAGCATCGTCCAGCGGCCTGGAGCAGAACTTTGCAAAGGGCGAGCGGAACAACGCCACTGGCCATTCCCAAGCATCCGCGTCGTACGATGCAAGGGCCATGAAAATATTGTTGGCGCCACTAAGCCCCCCGGATTTCAAGGTCATTGTCACGAACGCGGCGGAACTCTATGCAACTTGCCGCTCCGGCGCCCTGGCGTGATTCCACTTGCCACTTTAATATGTTTTAACACCGTTTGTTTTTTGCTGGTTTTCGTGTGTGTTTAAGAACATTGACTTGTTCGCCTGGCCAACGTCATTATCATCTCACTTGTCCGAGGCGCAAGCCGCAAGCGGACGCAGGAGCGGATTGACAAGAATGTGAAGCGCGCCAAGCAGGAGGGGACAGAAGCAGCGTTTATCAGATCCAGGCGGGACAGTGTTGCAAACGCAACATCCTCTTTGAACATGGCCGACCTGGCCTTCGACATGGACGAGCACCCGGCCACAAATGACAAAGTGTCTGAGTACTGGACTGAGAGTTACGAGGTTGAGTACCAGTTCCAAAAGTCAAAGCAAACACATTACAAGGTGGACGGCGTCCTGGACGGCCTCATTGATCAAAATGCAGTGGACCAAGAAACTATGGAGACAGCAGCCAAAGCTGAGCGCGACGCGGACAAGGGGCATATCAGAGACAGGCTCTCCAAGGACGCTTTGCAGATGCGGCTTAACGGCTCCATGGATTGGGAAAAGATTCAAGGCAGCAAGGCTTGGCTGGACCCCGCCATCTCTGTTGCAGACTTGCAAGTGGCAATGAGCGCCCGAAATTTGGTCAAAACCACGGAGCGATTGGAGGCAGACATTTTCATTGTCAACGACGCTGGCAATTTGCCGGAGAGGGTGAAATTGATGGCTGCCTTGCTTGGTCGGCAGATCATGGATGTCTGTCTCCTGGAAGGCAAGAAAGGGATCCTTCTGAAGTTTCAGCCTGCCTCGCAGACGCGGCGTCAGAAGGTCTTCTTTTCCACAAAGTTCCGTGAGAGCCACGCCCAATTCCTGAAGCCGATCAAGGACATTGTGAACCGTCCCGGAAGTAAATGGAAGCTCGCAGCCGTTCGGGCAGACGCAACCATGATCTTGGCAACCTCGGCTGAAGTTGGACGAGCTGCTGTTCTCAGTGGAAATTCGCAGGGTTATCTCAGCAAGGCGAGTTTTCTGGAAAACATTTCCAGGCTTGACTTGCGCGCTTCGGGTTTTTACACGCCATAGTAGCGTGTTCGCTGGCAAGGGGAAGTTGCCATCTACGTAGGGGCTGCCTAAGCGCAAGGCAGAGACTAGTGCTGATCGAGTTGAAACAACCCTGGGCATCCTTTCTGCAATGCTGAGTTTCAATCTCGCCGCAAACAAAACTAAACAAGTGTTTTGAATTGACTTGACATTGATTGACAGCGCTCGCGAAGCTTTCTTGGCTCTTACTAAGTGGCGGGTCCCGGCTCATCAATGATTGTGAATGGTCAATGGCAAGGCTCGTGATGGAGCTCGACCTTGCGTGCCGAAGGGTCGCGGAGACAATCCGCACGCTGGCGGCAACCCGTCACGCTGTGACTTTCAGCCAGTTCCTTAGTAAGCTTGTGCGAGGGATGCGAAGTAGTTTTCACACAGAAATTGCCGACCTTACTACTATAGACCAAGGCTTCGCCATCTTTCATGTTGAGCGCTTCATTGAGCGGAAGCTGACCGACCAAGAGGCGTTACATTGTTGGGTTTTGCCCAAGCAAGGGCCGGCAACTGGTTTAGCCTTTGTCGAGTCTCGCTGCAGGAACTCGCGGTGTTGACACGCATCGACGAACTGCTCGGCGAAGAAATCACGGTCAGCGAAGCCGGACTCTCAGTTACGTGTTACGCGTTAGCCTTTTTCACTGCCATGTCAGGTTCGGACTAGCTTGGCCATTGCGCCTGAGGTGCCTGCTGACGTGCAAAGGGCGCTGAAGGATGACAATGAGGCTTGCTCAATCCTAGTCACGGAATCTAGTATGAATGATGTTGCGCCAGGTCACGCAGCACCGGACTTGCGCGCGATGCATTGCAGAAGGCTGCTGCGGCCTCACTTTGAACGTCAGGTAGGGTGACGAGCTGTTGCATTGCTACTGTAAGGTCACCATTGCAAAAAGGCAGAAGAAGCCTTGCCCTCAGCAAAACTTGAGTGACGAGCGCCATCGGGGGGTCCTCCCAACTGACAAAGGCAAGCGCGAGTGAGCAGACGGATGCTAGCTAGATCTAGCTAGACTTAGGCAATCCAGGGCACAGGAGCTGGAAAACGCACTTTGCACGCGCAGTGCTGTCTTGCTGGCAATTCGTGAACGCACTCCGTGTGAATTTGAGTCTTGGAATTTTAGGGTCAAGCGCGAGCTCATGTCATTTCCAAGGTTAATTCCAACGCTTAATGATGTTGCTTTGGTTAACACTTGATTACCATAAATTATGATTATTTCATATCCGCTTGCCAAATTTTTCAGAACGCAACCTGCGCGGGCGGCATGGCGACGACGGACGACAAGGGCGAGGATCTGATCCAGGCCACTCTGGCCAAAAAGGGCTACACCGAGGTGTCCAAGCTGGGCGAAGGTGGCATGGGAGTGGTCTACAAGTGCCGCCACGCCGACGGGGGCCTCCGCGTCTTGAAGTTCTTGCGCGGGGACTTCGAATCCAGCGAGGAGGCCCAGGCACTCCTGGAGGAGGGCAACCAGATGAGGCAGCTAAGGCACCCGAACCTGGTTCAGATCTGGCAGTTGATTATGACCCCGACCTTGGTCATGCTGGAGCTGGAGTTCCTCGCGGGGGGCGACCTACACTGTCGGATCCACGACCCCCAGGGGCGGCCGATCTCCAGCGAGATCCTCATGATTCGCGCTTAGTCATTGCTTTCCGGGGGTTCGTCCAGTGAACACTGGCTAACAAGTCTCTGACACTGAGGAAGTGGATGCGCGAATGCATGAGCGGGCTCTACCACATGCACCGAGCCTTAGTAGTCTTAGTCTATTAGTCTAAGACTTGCTGGGGCGCGTGTGGTTCAAGCTGATTACTGATCAACGACGACTGTTGTTTGAACTGTTTTCCGCATCTAAGCTGTCACCGAACAATGACATGATTCAAACAGTTTTCTGTGTTTGTGATATCGGCGAATCCAGTGCTACTAAGGAGCCAAGCTTATGCATTGCGACATAAAGCCGGCCAACATCCTCCTGACGGAGACCCAGACCGCGAAGATCGCAGACTTCGGCCTGGTCTACAAGTTGGGGGAGACAGACACTTGGATGCACGTTAGCTTAGCAGAAACATTTAATGTTGTTGTTTCAATTCAGGGCTTTGCCAGGCATAGCAGGCTGAGGCGTTTCCTGTCAGTCGTGGCAAGCCCTGAGTTGCCCGAATTGTCGTCGGGCGACTCAGGGCTGCCAGGCTGAGGGCTGATCCTGCGGCTGCATTTAATTTCCTTTCAAATTCAGTCCTGGCAAGCCCTGAGTTGCCCGAGTCTGATTGTCATCGGGTGACTCAGGGCTTACCGAGGGCCGGTCGGCAGCTGCGCTCCCCTCTTACCTGGCAAGCCCTGAATTGCCCGAGTTGTCATCGGGCGACTCAGGGCTTACTCAGGCTGAGGGCGGGTCGGCAGCTGCATTGCCTCTTAGTCCTGGCAAGCCCTGACGAGTCTGAGTTGCCCAAGTTGTCATCGTCGGGCAGGCAACTCAGGGCGTACTTAGTTAGGCTGAGGGCTGGTCGGCAGCTGAGCGTTCACTCTTAGTCCTGGCAATCCCTGAGTTGCCCGACAAGCCCCAAATTGACTGACAGATGAGTTGATTTGCCGTTATGATGTGTTCAGACAGAGGGAACTGCTTTCAAATTCAAGACGCTGGCTCAGGCGCCCTTCCGCGGAACCATGTGTTACATGCCCGCCGAAGAGGTCTTATCCTTCACACTGACTCCATGGACGGACCTCTACGGGCTAGGGGGGGCGACGCTGTTTGAGGCCGTTGAGAAGCGTCTAATGATGCCGATGGGGCCGCTTGCAGCTTCCTGGCTTGCATTGACTGACTTAGGTATTAAAATTGATTTTGATAGCATTGATGCCTGCGCGGATGTGATTCCATTTAATTGCTCAAGTCACTGCATGTCACTGCTTTACTTTCAGGATCGCAGGGCGATCCGGCCCATCCCGCCCAAGAAGGCCGTCCAGTGGAGGGCATACGACGGCCTGCTGGCTGGCATCTTCAAGAAGTGCGTCGACAAGTGGAGCTGGATCAAGGGCGGCCAGGACTCCGTGAAGTTCCTGGCGGAGCTCATCCAGGAACTCCGCGACTACGAGGACACGATGGGCAACCGCCAGGGCCCGAATGCTCCTGTGGCCGCCGCGGAGGCCTACGCTTTCTGCCTAAATTTAATAGCTTGCCAAGTGCGAGTTGGTTGCCTTCGGCATGTAGGCACCAGACTGACTAACTAAGGTGAGGAAGATTCGTGCCTTGGCTTGGCTTTCATCTTTCTAGTTTTCAAGCTTCTAATTAAGTAAGCTATTAAATTGCTTGGCGTGAACTGAGGAAAGTCGGGCGATACGCCATCAGCAGATGCGAGAGCGATGGCAAACCGGGCGAGAGCCGCGAGGCGCATCATGATGGCAATGGACATTGACGTTTCCATATCTTGTGTTTGCTGTCATTGGCACGTTGACTTAAAGTATTAGTCTTAGTAGTCTGTAATCTGATGGCTGCTTAAACTTAGGTAAGCGGAAGAAGCAGCGCACTGGCGGCTAGTCACTAGTCTGTCAGTCGTCAATGTTTGAAGCTAGGCGCCAATCTAAGAAATCTGCCTATAGGTTGATTGACATTGTCAGGCGGCTGAGCAGTCATTGAGGCCAAGCATTAGCTCAAAGGTTTGCAGCAGCGTGGCATGAACCATATTTTTGCAGGTTGGGCTCAGTCGGCTGTCGGCCTCTGGCACAATGCCGGAGCATTTCAGCAAATGGAAGCTGAACAAGGCTGAGCAGAAGTCAGTCGAGGAAGAGGAGAAAAGGGTCTACGCGGAGCGCAAGACTGCTGGCGATTCAGACGAGGACGCTCAGAAGGCAGCTTCAGAAGCCGCGGCGACCAAGTCGAAGGAGCTGTCAACGCCAAACCATGATGTTTTTTGAAGCCCTGTCGTTTTCACGTGCAAATCCATCAGAAAATGCAGTCTTGCCTTTCGTCAGGCTCTGAAGGAAGCAAAGATGGTGAAGAGCCAGGTCAAGAAGAACCAGCCACAGTCGGCGGCGGCGGCTATCGATGCTCCGGAAACGGCGCCTCAGAACAACACCCAGTACTACGAAGCGCTCATCGACGCCGTCAACGTGATCCTTCAGTGCCCCACCTTCGTTGACCTTCAGACGACCGCTGCGCCGCTGCCGATCAACACCAAGCCGGGAGAAGACCAGTCAGGAGTTCAGGCGGGAAGGTTTTAGTGCATTGGCGGATTAAACCTAGCCTGCATCTTGATTCGACACTAGTACTACTCCGTATCTGTGCTCCGGCCTTTCTACTTACCAATTTTACCGCGAAACAAACAGCATACATGACGACAATTAAATTGAAGGACTAGTTTTCACTGGTAACTCAGCAGTTTCAAAAAGATCGCCATCCTTCAAATTGTCGTCTTGGGTGGAGACTTGTTATGTTTGACTCCTGTCCTTGCAATCCACTACGCGGAACATCCTTTGCATGCTGCAATGGTCAGTTTGACAGAGTTTGACCGTGTTGCTCCCATTGTGCTGATTACACCAGTTTGACACCACTTCTGGGCAACCAACAACGAGTGCAAAAAACAACACAAACGCCCGCAAATACAAACAAGTTGCCTCAACTCATAATGCAAAACCAGTGCATTTCCTGCATGCGCAAGGTGTCTGCGGGCAGTTCGTGCCAAAACACTGAATTGCTGCAAACGTACCACTTGTCTAAAACAACGAGACATTTCTGGTAGAGCGAATAGTTGTTTTTCAGCTTGAATTACACTGGTCAATCTGCCAGGCAGTTTTCGACCCACGGGAGTGCAAGGCAGCATTGACGAAGGAAGGATGCTACAGGGCCGCGATCAACTTGATGTGGATTGACCCATTTGGGTCCACAACGCCCACAGTACCGCTCAGTGTGGAGAGGGTCCGGGAACTCGGGCAATTTGCTTGTCCCGCCGGGGATGCAAAGCACTTGACCGAGAACTTCACAGTCGCGGTCGACAGCCCGGACCAGGAC